TCCATTCATGATAAAAACTCTCAACAAAACAGGTATAGAGGGCAAGTACCTCGACATAATAAAGACTATATATGACAAACTCGTAGCCAACATCATACTTAACAGTGAGAAGCTGAAAACTTTTCCTTTAAGATCAGGAACAAGACAAGGATGTCAATTCTCCCAGATCCTATTCAACATGGAGGTCTTAGCCACAGAAATCAGACAACAGAAGAAATAAAAGGCATCCAGATTGGAAAGGAAGAAGTTAAACTGTCCCTGTTTGCACATAACATAATAATGTACATAAAAAAACCCTAAAGAATCCACTCCAAAACTACTAGATCGAATATCTGAATTCAGCTAACCTGCAGGATATAAAATTAATATGCAGACATCTGTGGCACTCCTATACACTAACAATGAACTAGCAGAGAGAGAAATCAGGAAAACAATTCCACTCACAGTTGCATCAAATAGAATTAAATACCTAGGAATAAACCTAACCAAGGAAGTGAAAGACCTATACTCTGAAAACTACAAGACACTCATGAGAGAAATTCAAGAAGATACCAATAAATGGAAACACATCCTGCGCTCATGGATAGGAGTAATTAATATTGTCAAAATGGCCATCCGGCTTAAAGCAATCTACAGATTCAATGCAATTCCTGTCAAAATACCAACAGCATTTTTCAACGAAATAGAGAAAATCGTTCTAAAATTCATATGGAACCACAAAAGATCCCGAATAGCCAAAGCAATACTGAGAAGGAAGAATAATGCTGGGGGGATCTCACTTCCCAACTTCAAGCTCTACTACAAAACCACAGTAATCAAGACAATTTCGTACTGGCACAACAACAGACCCATGGACCAGTGGAACAGACTAGAGAGCCCTCATACAAACCCAACCACATATGGTCAGTTAATATATGATAAAGGAGCCATGAATATACAATGAGGAAATGACGGACTCTTCAACAGCTGGTGTTGGCAAAGCTGGACAGCTACATGCAAGAGAATGAAACTGGATTATTGCTTAACACCATACTCAAAGTCAAAATGGATCAAAAACCTGAATGTAAGTCATGAAACCATAAAACTCTTAGAAGACAACATAAGCAAAAACCTCCTGAATGTAAGCATGGGCAACTTCTTCGTGAATGCATCTCCTCAAGCAAGGGAAACAAAAGCAAAAATAAACTCATAGGACTACATCAAACTAAAAAGTTTCTGTATGGCAAAGGACAGCATTAACAGAACAAAAAGGCATCCTACAATATGGGAGAATATATTTGTAACTGACATATCAGATATCAGATAAGGGGTTAACATCCAAAATATATAGAGAACTCACACACCTCAACACCCAAAAAGCAAATAACCCAATTAACAAATGGGCAGAGGATATGAAGAGACAGTTCTCCAAAGAAATTCAGATGGCCAACAGACACATGAAAAGATGCTCCACATCACTAAACATCAGGAAATGCAAATTAAAACCACAATGAGATATTACCTCACACCAATAAGGATGGCCAGCATCAAAAAGACTTAAGAACAACAAATGCTGGCAGGGATGGGGAGAAAGGGGAATCCTCCTACACTGCTGGTGGGAATGTAAGCTAGTTCAACCATTGTGGAAAGCAATATGGAAGTTCCTCAAAAAACTAAAAATTGAAGTACCATTTGTCCCGAGAACCCCACTCCTTGGAATTTACCCAAAGAATACAACTTCTCAGATTCAAAAAGACATATGGACCCCTATGTTTACTGCAGCACTTCTTACAATAACCAAGATATGGAAGCAACCTAAGTGTCCATCAGTAGATGAATTGATGAAGAAAATGTGGTATATATACACAAAGGAATACTTTTCAGCCATAAGAAAGAAACAAATCCTACCATTTGCAACAACGTGGATGGAGCTGGAGGATATTATGCTCAGTGAAATAAGTCAAGAAGTGAAAGACACGTACCAAGTGATTTCACTTGTTTGTGGAGTATAACAACGAAGCAAAACTGAAGGAACAAAATAGCAGCAGACTCAGAAGACTCTAAGAAGGAACTAGTGGTTACCAAAGGGGAGGGTTGTGGGAGGGCAGGTGAGGAGGGAGGGAGAAGGTTTAGTATACATGGTGTGGTAGATCACAGGGAAAACAGTGTAGCACAGAGAAGGCAAATAGTAAATCTGTGGCATCGTACTACAGTGGTGGACAAGTGACTGCATTGGGGTGTGGGTGGGGACTTGCCAATATGGGTAAATGTAGTAACCATTGTTTTTTCATGTGAAATCTTCATAAGAGTGTATATCAATAATACCTTTAAAAAAATGGACCTGGCCCTGGACATTTTGACACATGGACTGGTGATGGCTGGCCCTTCTGGCACCTTGGGGGAAAGGCCTGGAAGCAGGCTAGTGTATATTACTTAAGTAACAGCTGAATGTCCCCCAAAGGTCACAGTAGCGTACCCAAAACGTCCAGGAAGTAAGAGCATCTTGCAGGGAAGTTTTATCTTCATGGCCAGTGCATGTACCCCCCGCAGCCCTATATGTCAACCTTTTTGTAATTCTCACAGGGAGGGAGTGAAAGTCTGGTATACTAGACCGGGACGAGATCCCATTGCTGCCACTGTTTTATCAGAAGACCACTCTCTTCTGTGTTGTACCTGCATGGACACAATTTGCCTATGCTGGTCTCATTAAAACATGTTATCTTAGTGCCCTTAAGGTTATTTTCTCCTACAGTCCTTGTGGCCTTAATGTGCCCCCTGGCTGCAGCTGCCGCATCATGATTGCTCTGAACCCTCAGCTACTGCCTGCCTATGGAATAGATGAGTTACGGACTTAATCTGCCTAAGACTCTGAAACTAGCTAAATCCTCCAGTTTGAGGATTGTCATGATTTTATTGCTGTTGCTATTGTTATTTTGTTAGTCTGGTCACAATGCTCCAGTTTTCTCCCCCAAGGACCATTAGGAAGAAAGGGAACAAGTAGTAAGGCTTGTAAGGCGAGATTTCTGGAGGGGTGGCCTGTGGGTAAAATTGTAACATTTCCAGAGTATCTCCCTGGCTTTAGTGCATTTGCATATCCTCAGGGGTGGGTGGAGAGAAGTGCATCTCCATGTCAGTGAGTAGTAAATGGGCAACCAAGTGCGTGTCTGAACCTGAGAGTTTAAGGGGAGGGGCTTAATTGCTTGCCTGCTTCCTCCCCAGAGCAGGGAGAGACAGACGGTGCTGGACTGCAGTTTGTAAGCAATAAACAGGTTTTAAACTTTACTTCTCCCTTTGACTGATTTTGCTTTTTATAGGTATTTTGCCCTGAGATTTCCTCTCCCCGGACTTACACTGATGTTCTACTCTTAAAAATCTAGTAATTATAAATTATGTATTTCCCCCCAAATAACAAAGATGTTAAGAGCTAATAACTCAGTGTTAGCAATAAAGTAAAATAAAAGACAGTCTCTACACAGTTCTAAAGGCAATAAAAACCAACGAATCTTCTTATGTAAGGCAATTTGATCCTATTTTGCAGTCTCATACATACTCTGACCCAGCAACTTTCACTTCTAACTTTCATGCTAAATAAATATATGAATAATGATGTACAAGGACATTTACTACAGCACTCTAATGGTAGAAGAAAAATTCACACAGACTCCAGCACAGCCATTAAAATGACTGATGTCAGTGATAATAAGCTATGTCTAGACATGGAGCAGTATTATAAAATGGGTATAGGAGGTGTAAACTCTAGAACACTGGATATATCACCCAAACAACTACAAAGCACCATCCTCAAATGTATATATAGAGTATCTGTACACATTAAGACTCTGAAAAGTGTAATTGTACACAAAGGAAATTGATCTTTTCATACAGATAGCCTTTTGACAAAAAAAAAAACCTTTGGTAAGAGAAAAGTATAAGGGATTTTCACTTTTGCTAGATATGTTTCTGAATTGTTCTAACTTTGTATAATTAGAGTTAATTGTGTATAATTTCTATTATTTGAAAAAGAGGAGGAAGACAAGAGGAACAAATAGAAAGGTAAACAAAAGAAGCCACAGGATAACACCTCTAGGCCTCAATTGTAAATTGTTCTGTAGATCATTGACATTTTCTTTCTAGTTGAATAAGCAATAAGAGAAATACAAGTGAAATCTGTAAAAGGGTTTCCCTGGATGATCTCAAAGTTCTAAAGTGTTCCTGAGCAACAGAAAGTAAAATTTAGTAACAAATTAACAAAAGGATTCAGACTTTAGCAGGAGGAAGGACACAGAAAGTAACTAACCATAATCTTAGAAGAGGAGTAAACTCAGGACTGAAGAAAAAAATGTGACACAACTTTTCAAGTCCCAACTGCTCTACATTTTTGCCAATAATTATTCACAAAATATTTGGATGTACAATTCATTTACATCCTTCTACATGCCTAGAACACTTTTACTCTGAGATCCTTTCCAAATAATTACCCAAAGAAGGCTTTTTCCTACACATCCTGACATCCTGCTGCTATAAAAATGGCACATTAAAAGTTGGTGAAATGATAAGTGGCTGGGCAATTTTACTAGCTTAATTTCACGCTGGTTTTTAATGTTCAAGCAATATTCATCATTCAGTAGGCTAATTATAAATCTTTATTAAAAAGAGGAATAACTAGATATACCAGCAGTGAATGCTAAGGTAGAGTGCCAACACTAATTATACAGTATTGTAGTTAGCAATTTACAGCATTGGGTAAACCAGATGTTAAATGTAAAACTCAAGAAAATTACCTTTTTAAAAGCTAATGATAGTTTACAATTAAACTCTTGCTTAACATTTGAAAATACAAACAGTATTTTTTCTTCCATTGCTTAGAGAAATTCAGAAAATGACCATGATCATTTTCTAAGCATGTATAACATCTTCCCACAACATGCTTATCAAAAGATCAGGAAAAATCTTATTACATAAAAATATAAATACACATACACACACCACAGTGAACAATAAAGTATCTTTGAACACTATACCTGTATCAGCTTCACGTTCTTTATTCTCATCTGTAAGGGGGTTGTCATGAAGCTTCAAATAGATCTCTATAGCAATTCTTGCTGCCTTGAAGTAAAATGGATGCTGTCGAAGTACATCTTCTAGTTTTAGTAAGTCCACATATGATCTAAGAGTAATCTTCCTCATACAGTATGTATGAAAGTCAAACTGGTCATCAGTGATTTCTATAAAATGCTAACAAAATTGTCTTTTTTATTATACTGAAGTATAGCAATGTCAAAGAAAACTACAAAAATCAAAGACTTGGAATTACTTGTTTCCTTGGCTTGAAAAAATTAGTGATACAGAAATATATTATTCAATAAAAATTCTGTATATCAAAAAGGCAGATACAATTAGCTATCACCTGGCACAGTATATGGCATACACCAAGGCACTGAATTATTTGTTGAATGAAAAGGAAATACAGTGTTTTAAAAAATATATATATATTTATTCCTTCCTAATCATACTTAAGTTATCATGACAAATTCAACATAACTTATTTGTAAATATAATGGTGTAATACAGATTTACACGTTAAATACTCAGCAGTTGATAATTTTTCTGAGTATACAAATCTGAATTTTATGCAGTGTAATGTTGGTAACAGAGAAATCAATTAACAAGTAAGCTGAAACACATTTCATCTAAGCTCTTAGGGTTCTCCATTTGATAACAAAAACAGCATGAAATTACATAAACTATTTTTATGTATTAAACACACAAAAAAGGAAAGCCAACTACTAGTAACAGAAATGAACCAAAAGTAAAGAGGACTAAGAAAATAATGAATTTATAATAAAATGAGGAATTACACAAGTTATAGAAATATCATGAAAAAAATTCAAAGTTTAAATGCTATAAATATCAAGAGTATATATATGGCATCATCAATCATTTCCACACAAACAAGTTTCTAGGGTAAATGAAGAGCTTTGTATATATTACTGAAATTTGAAAGAAATTATTAAAAATTATTTGAAAATTAGCAGCAATTTGAAAGAAACATTAAAAGTCAATGTAAATGTAGCCAAGATACAAACTTTCCAAAAACTTTTTTATATGAATTCTTAGAGGAAGAGTGGAGAATGAAAAGTCTGCTGAAAGGGAAGTCTACTGAAAATGTAGTATATTTCCATTAAAATAACTGAAAAATGTAAATACTTATATTTTGAAATCCCTGTGAATTATAAAGATGGAGAGAAGTAAAAACTCTTAAGATTTGCCTAAAACCATCAACATGTAACAGGATAAAATGAGAAACTCATACATTATAGGGTACTTACTCTCTCAATCTCATGACATTTCTTAAGTGCTTCACCAAATTTATTCATTGCCTTATAAGCCTGGGCACATTCTGTCTGGAACCACATGCATTGCATTTCATTCAAATTCTCTACTGCTGATGTTCCTTCCTATATGAAAAATCACATATATTTAGGATGATTCTTACTAATTATATTATTCCACCATAGGATTTAAGAAGGGAAAGATGGTGAATTGACCTGAATTCTTCGGAAATTATTTTCTATTTTCTTAACTATTTGTGGAATAACAACAGTTAACATGTGAAATAGACTGGAATTATATTTCTAACCACTAAAAAAGTACTTTTGTAATGATTAATCAAAAGATCTATATAACTGTGGCTGGGGAGTAACCTGAGAAATAGAACACTAGAACCTAACAGGTACTTGATCAATATTCCCTTCAAACCTAAAAATTTAATCTGTATGTCAATACATAGTTTGTCAATATAAGTTTATAAGTTTATATATGTATATATAAGTATATACATATAATATATATGTTTATATAAGTTTATATATATGTCAATATAAGTCAATATAAGTTTCAAAATCCATTGTATACCCATCTAAAAATAAAATGTTTAATACTAATATTTATTTCATTTTTTCTGATAAGGCAATTTAATTAAAATTATGACTATTTTGATATTAGAAATATCAGAAACAAACTGAAAATAAGCAAGGTATATCAAGTTTCAGCTGTTTATTTATAAGAACACTAGTTATACAAACCCTTGTAAATTTTGAGCACATTTCTTCAGCCTCTTTTATCAGATTGGCTTTTAGCATATATTTTGCACATTTGGAGTTGATAAATCTGTCTGCTGTGTCCAAGGCCTGAGCCTCATCCATCCACCTCGCAGCTTCTTTAATATTCCCAGCATGCTTAAATGACAGAAAAGCAAAATAAACCAGTCAGCATGCTAGTTTTACTATGCAGGTAATTAGTTACCTATTGATAAATAATTAAAACACAAATGGAAGAAAAGGTATTCTGACTCTCAAGACCCTAAACAATGTAGATGCATATATTTTAGCATAATATAAACTCTGATACCTTTCTGGCCATGTAAAATATAAGCTCTCTGATAGTGAAGACTAGTTATAGGTAATTTTTTCTACTGTTATAACTTCATTATCTATAACAGTGCCTCACACATAGTGAATACTCAAAAATGATGCTTGAATCAAAGAAAAAACAATGATCAAAAGCTTTAAGTCTGAACAATATAGTTCAATGTAAAGGTCATTAAAAAAAAGCAAAGGAATGGTTAAATTTCTACTCCCAAGGAACCACGGAAATATTGCTGATTTGGACCATTAATAGGCATTCTACCATGATCCTCATTCTAATTCACCTAACTAGACCATTTGGCAAAGCCACAAATCTAATGAGCATAAACTGGCTTTGAAAAGTGTTTTATTTACTATATTTTGATAAATAAATTATTGGTTTACAATCTTTTCTCCAAGAGCTTTTAACTAAATTGTATTTGTATTAAGATAGAGAAGAATCAACTTTTAAGTTGCTGCTAGTGAATATGACAGGAGATCTCAAGCAGGACCCAAAAGTTGCAAAAGCAAGAGAGATAACAGCATGATGAATTCATAGAATCTTCAGTTTCATTTCATTAAGATTACCAGATACTGATAATCATATTCAAATATTAATAGAAAAAACATTTCATAGCAAATATAATCACTTTTCATTATCTATAATTACTTAAAATCAAGAAAATACCCAAACATTATGTGTATGTGTGAATGTAAATGACCATGACAAGTCTAAAAATAATCAGATTGAGAAATGTACTATACTTGTTACTCCATGTTTTATGAGCCATCAAAATATGTCATTTTTCTTACAGCTTTTAGAATCTATAAATTACAGGAAAAATTTTTAGGAGTCTCATTACAAGAAAAAGAGGGAAAGATTTTTACCTTATAGATTTTAGCTTTCACAAGAAAGAGTTCTATCAATGTAGGTGTACTTTCAATAGCAGTATTTATGTATTCCAGAGCAATAGATGGCTGACCAATTTTGTCATAATGCTGTGCCAAGTAGTACTGGACCCAAAGTAATGTGGTTGGTGGCTCCTCTTTTCCATCATCTTTAAGAAGTTGGGGATGGGGAGAGAGGAGGAAAGAAACCAAGGTTAGTCATTACATGTATTAAGAGAGTAACCACAACAAAATGGCTCTCTTTATTAATAAGGAAAGTAATCTGAACATTATATATCCATCTAACTATAAAACCATCCCTAAATGTTTAAGATCTTTGGAAGGGGCCATGCTTTCTCTTCTGTAGCAATACAGCCCCTAGCATAATGCATTATGTTTAGTAAGAACCTTATATAATAAATAAGGCAGATAAATGGGATCAAAGATATAACAAATAACCTAAAAAGGAAATAAAAGGAGTTGGGGGAGAGAAGTTGTATGAGAACTATGAGAGTGTATCGATCAGGTTGTTATTTATGATGGGGAAAAAAGGGAATTGCAAGAAATTTTCCATTAATATGAGGTTTTTTTAAAAAAAAGGGCCTGTTCAGTAGGGTTTCTAGCTAATGTACTACATTATACATAAATATATTTGTCGATATGGTTATTCTGAATTTTAATGATTTTAATATTCTCAATATATTTTAATATTATGTTGAATATGCAACAATGCATAATTTAGATTGAATAAAAACTATACCCAAGAAATTAGATAAAAATGTTTATTTTATATTATAGTTCATAATTTAACCTTTATCTACTCATAAGAGAACGTGTGAGTCAGATATATAACCCATACATTTAAAAATGCTTTTTAAAGACATACATCTAAAATCTGAGAATTGTTATTTGCTTTCAAAGAAAGCAAGATTGCTTATTTTTATCCTAGTAAAGTAGGATGGCTCAGTGGACAAATAATAGGAGTGGAACTCACCAACTCCCGATCTGATCTGCAACTAAAGTGCTGCATATTCTTGGGCATGTCATTGAACCTCTTCCACATTTGTAAAATAGTAGGAAAATGCTGATAATCAAAGGAACATCATGATGATTAACCAATGAAATCATGGTAATGCCTTCTAAAAAGTACTAAAATTAATCTTTGAGGCCTAGAAACAATAATCAACGCAATAGCAATGAGCACCAGAGGTCTCATACTGGTCTTCCCCACCCTGACAATCAGGGCTTCTTGGGAAACACAATTGATTCCAGGTGTACTCTGGGCAGCACATTAGATGAACTGGAGTATCCTGTCATACCAAACTGCAATGAAGCTATCAACTTCTATGTGTGAAGGCTGGACCATTTGAAACTGCAATGCTTTAAAAGTATGTTTGAATCCATGAATTCATAGTAATACCTTTAAAATGTGTATTGGCCATCTTTGAAAGATGCTACTAAACCAATTCATTATTTTGAAAACTAGTAAAGAACAAAAAAACACAGAAGAAGCAGGGGGAGATAAAGCATCATTTATCTTTCTTTTCCTATACAAACTGAAATATTAGATAAGTAGATAAGAGATGAGGGGAAGTTTCTCTTTTAAGATAATAAAAAATGAATGACAGAATATCACCAGTTTGTAATTCCTAACAGTTGCTAACATATAAAAAAAATAACAGCACACCTCTTGATGGAAGAACATACTACTATCTGTGAAATAATCTTACTCACCCCTTTTATATTTAAAACAAAACAAAAAGCAAACAGCCAGAAGGAGCTGAAACTCTTCAAGCACCTAGTCAGACCTGTCTGTTCTTTACATTAAAAGTTTCTGCAATGATAGGAATGTTCTGCCTGTCCAATATGGTTGGCAAAAGCCTTACATGTCTACTGAGCAGCACTTGAAATGTGGCTACTGCAACTAAGGAATTGAATTTTTTATTTTATTAAAGTTATATATATATTTTACTAGTTACAAGAGGCTTCAGCTATGAAGCTAGACAGCACAGATCTACATCCAAGTATCAATTTATAACAAAATCAGAGGACAGAGGATTAACATGTTAACAACATGAAAGTACATTCAGTAATATCTTGACTATAAAAAAACTCAAGAAAAAACTAGTTTTCTTAACAAAGAGATGGAGAGAAAACCTACAAATTAAAAGAGAGTTAAGAAACATATCAACCAAACTCAAAATATAGATTTCATCTGTATTTTGAAAAGAACTTCAAAAACAAGAGAAAAAATGGTGTTTGTAAGGTAACTGGAAATGTCAGCATGGACTCTTTTCCTTTGTTATTAACAGAGTATTAATGTTCAGGTGTGATGATGATATTATGGTTATGATCTTTAAAACACTAAAATACTCATGGATAAAATGGTGTGAGGAGACTTCCTTCAGAATAATATGGGAGTAAAGGGAAGTAAAGAAAATGGATAAAATAAGTGTGGCCATGAGTTAAAAATTACTGAAGCTGGTGATGGGTAAATGGAGGATCATTACACTATTACATCTAGTTTTGTAGATGTTTACTGACCTTCTGATTAAGAACTTCATAATACATAAAATTTTCAAGATGTTTTTAAAACACAGAACTTGAGCACTTACCATTGGGGTGAAATAATCGGCAGCTTTTTAGAGAGGTTTCATAACCTACTACTAATTCTTCTATGATTGCCACCTAGGTACAAATACACAAGCACTTTAATAAAAAATATGGAGAGTTACTATTATTGTGAAAAATGTGTTATTTACTATTAAAGGGCTAAATAAACATTATTCCAACACACACACACACACACACAAATACACACAAGCACACCTTTTTATAAACCTCTTAACCTAAATATAAAGACTTAAAAGCAAGTACACTGTATGTTTTTGAAGGTATGTATTAAGACACAACTTTCTACCAACTTACTGGTAACTCCTTTTCCTACCAGAAAATAATGCATCAAGCTGAACTAGAAATCAGGAAAAGGTTGGATAAGAGGTAATGCTGTGGATGATTTTTATCTTCATTTTTATCTCAATTCACATAAATGACACCCACAGTTAACATCTACTATTTACAAATCAAGAATTAAACACTATATGAAAAAAGAACTTCAGCAAATAGATGACAGCATCAGCACTCAATTTCATAATCTAGGAGAAAGCATTAGTAAAGCTGAAACATGGAACAGCAGGTGGGTTTCTGAGGTCCAGAGAATGAGTGGCTGTCTAGGTTCTTGCTTCTCTTGAGTCCTGACAACACTACTTACTTCTGGTTTCGTAAGAGATCTGTATATATTTTTAATTTATTAATTCCCCTCTTTGCTTAATCCATATATAATGGATTTGTTACTGTAGAAGCTCTCTTATATGACCTCAATTGACTCAAGAGATTACCACGAGCTCTCTGCATAACCTCAGAAACTGAGGACCACAACATCACTAATGGCTGGGTTATTCTGCTATGCCCATGTCTTCTGCTCCCACAAGTGGAGCTACATGCTCACTAAGAGTGTTGCTTTCCCAAACCTGTTTCAACCAGTTGCATTTATTATCATCAGTGCAGAATTCAATTCACTATTATGTAAATTAAAGATGAGAACAAAAAGAAAGATCTGTTTCAAGTTGAATACTGTGGAAAGACTCAAGGATAAATTATTAGATATTTTTAATCAGTTCAGGTTTAAATGAGACAACATAAAGAGAAAAATATTGTAAAAATATAGGAGTCACAATATAAGTTGGTCACAGGCACAGTAGTACATCGAGAATACAGTCAGTGACTCTGTAACATCTTTCTATATTGATAGATAGTAACTGCACTAGACCGGATTTAATAATACAGGTAATGGCTGAACCACTGTGTTGTACATTTGAAACCAATATAAGATTGTATATCAACAATACTTCAATTAAAAAAATGTGTGTGTGTGTGTGTGTGTGTGTGTGTGTACACAGCAGTCTACAATAAAGGCTGCTTCACAAGCATCAAGTTCTCACTTCACTGTAACTGGAAAAACAGACCGCATTTTATGATGTGATTTATTCAAGAAAAAAAAAGTGAAAGTCATCAACAAAGCCTCTACCTTGGGCTTCTCAAAGAAAGACTGGCAAATAAGTGTACTTTATGTGCTTCAGGTTGAAGTGTTTAGCAAGTTTACATTGTTCCACCTTTGATTTTTCACTGTACCTAATTTTTTTAATCCAACCAACATGTGTTGACATTGTACAACACTATGTTTACAAGCAAAATAATCTAAGATTAAAACACCCTCTTAATTAGCATTATGAATATTACAATACATAGCTGAAAGAGTTAAGCTGACTTGCAGGGACAGCGAACAAACTCTTCTGACAGAATACTTTTTCTACCAAATAAAAAAGGAGGAAGATTACTAAGCTAAAATTTGTTTTTAAAAAAAAAACCACTTCTGACTTTCACCAGGAACAGGGATTAGGGGAAATACTGAAGAAATCACTTATCAACTTTTCATACCTACACTGACTCACTAAAGTATAGAGCAGAAACAAAAGACAGAGAAAACAAGTAAGCACTAAGTTAATTAGCTAAAGAGAGAAGAGGATGAAAAGGCAACAAGTGGCACAAAAGCCCTAAACTGCAAGGATGACTGATACCAGATTCACAAAATGTACACTATATGTAAAGATAATCAAGCATCAGTTTTTCCAAATACCAAGCAAAGAAATCATACAAAAAATAATGTTATTTTGCTTTACCTTTTCTTTATCTTTGTATAATGACCTCAAAGTATTGAAGACTGGTGGACAACCCTTGCTGAAGTTCATCCTCAGAAACTTATCCAAACACTCTTTAAACTTCTCACCTTAGAAGAAAAAAATTCTGTTGCCTTACATTTAGCTAGACAATGCTAACAGTGCATACTTTAAACGTAACATGCATACTCATATAGTTAAAACCAAGAAACTGGAAAAGCTTAACATCATTTTCACTCCTTGTCAGTAATTCTCACTTACCAGATAGAAAGTTTAATGGCAGTCTTCTTGGAACCAGCCCCCTTGGATATTTAGTCCAGGCCTCCTCATAAATTTTTAGTCGTTCTAACATATTAGCTGCAGACAAAAGAAGTTATTTTTATGTGTAATTATAACTTGCATATTTTTCTAGCAAATTTCAAATGTCTTAAAGTATGTCAGAATTACATTCAACAGAAAACCTGAAGATGGTTAGAAAATCATTTAAATCCACTTAATATATCAACAATCATTTTAGAGTATTTTCTTCTAATATTTTCATATTTTAAATGCCTATATTCACGTGAAATACATAATCTTATCTTCGTCTGCTTTAGGTAACCTTTCAAAATCTGTGGACTACTTTACTCACTCTTTTAAGTTCACAGAAAGGCTCGGTCATTATGTTTCCGTATATGGCTTCTCCACTATTTTCTTTAGTCTGTCCTTCTCTAACTCCTCTCCTCTGACTTATTTTAGAGCTTCTGAATCCATCCCCTATCTTTCTTTTCTCTGTATTTATATTTTCTCTTTTACTATCAGTTGAGAGCTTTTCTCAGTTAAATTACTAATTTCTCCTCAGTTGTGGCCTCTCTTCTCTTCAATCTGTTAGGCTTTTATGTCAGTAAGTAGGTTTTCCACTTCCCAGACTCCTCAATGGTACTTCTTCATAACTATTCATATTTCATAGCTGCAATTTCCTCTCTGGATCTTAGGTTCCTCCATCATCTCTATTTTCCCTTTGGCTGGTACTGATTACTATTCCTGCGCTGGTATTACTAGAAGAATATCATATTCTTTGTTGTCTTAAGGAAAACAGCTTCAAATCAAATCATCTTGGCTAAGTAAGGACCCTGCCTGCTTTGCATAAGATATGTTTCTGGGTCTGTCCTTACCAGTAGGTCACATTCACGGAAGACAATGATGAGGGCCATGGGGGCAGGAGGGAGAAGCAAGTTTTTTGGGGTGAGGAAAATTTAGTCCCATTCCCTACATAGGAAACAGTGCTGCTCTTTCAGCTTAACTACATTTGCGTGCCCCTGGCAGGATACTCTACTGTAGCCACAGGTTACAACAGAAGTTATGCTTGCTTCTTCCGTTTAGGGGGCTGTCTCCTTTTCTGTCAGTGGAAATTTCCCTTTCATGTTTTTTATGTTGCCATGCATCTGTGTATGTCTATAAGTTGTTTCTCAAATTCTCTTGTGAACGATTTCTATTTGTAGAAGACAGGTTTCAGAAAATCTGTGCCATATTAAATGAAGTTTGCAAATGCACTTTTGTATTCAGATTAACCACTATTTTTCTAGTTATGCTTTTCAATAGATTAATAAGATACATATTAACAAAAGCAATTTAAACTTAGTAAGCCTTAAACAGTACTACCTGGATTGAGTGCCTTTTCCAAACCTTTGTAATAGGCCCAGTTTTCAGGATTTCTCTCTTGTAACCCTCTATAAACATCAGCTGCATCTTCCAAACGACATAATTGCAACAGAAGTTCCCCTGATTAAAAAAAAAAATCAAATTAACTAAAATCAACTTTTGAATATATATACTTTTGACTTTTCTTCAAACTTTCTCTTAAAATCTCTTCAATGTTGGGAAATAAATGGATTTGACATCTTTCTGAATTCTCAGTTCCCTTCAAACAAGACTATTTCCCTTGTTATTTTATTGTCTTTCCTTTCCTGAAGTTGATATTTAGAAATATCATTTTTATCACATCCTCAATTTATTCAGGCATTTGTCTAATTCCAGGCCACCTTCCCAAATTCACTGACTAGTCAGCAAACTATTATTCCTGACATCATACAATTTCGACCTCCAAATTAATGACTTAATCCAATACCCTCCTTGCCTTATGAACCTTTAAACAACTATAACATGATTCTGCTAGAGCAGACCATAACCATGACCACAGTCAAAACCTGCTTTTTCTCTCTTCCAACTACCAAATAAGCATCTTGCTTTATGCCTAACTGTCCTGTCTTTCTTACTGTTGTCTCAGTAATCCTTTCAACCTTAGAGAAAAACCATCTCCTTTTCTTCAGGCCTTCCAACAACTCAGACTCATTGCTTGTTTTCTCTGGGCCGCATGACCAATTGCAACCCTGAATAACATGAGCAACCCCAAATACCAAAATCAATCTCAAAACCTAGGCTTCCTTGTTTATTAATCTTAAGGCTTGGAATATGCCACCCCAATTGCTAAAAACTCAACACCTTCTCATAAAAGGAAGCAAGTTGTCAGATGAATAGAAAGAGGCACTGGTTTCACTAGAAACATAAGCTCCAAACTCAAATAAGTCCCAAACACTGCCCAGGAATGCTTTTCCTTATCCTTAATGGGTTTCCATTTACCAAAGGTATTATTTTCAAATGATGACTTCATCTTTGCACCCTTTGTTTTCATCAGATAATAAAAACTAATACTTACTGAGTATTCACTCTGTGCCAGTGATTTTCAAATGTTTCACATGCATTAACTCAACTCTTAAAACACTATGAGATAGGTGACTATAATTTTTATCATTTTAAAGCAGAGACAACTTAAGTAAACTTGCTCAGAATCTTTCAGATAGTTCACACTGGAGTCAGGAATTGAACTCAAGCATTTGGCTACAAAGCCCATATGAAAGTCTACACCAGTCGTTCTCAACCAAGTGCCCAGTGGACACTTGGCAATACCTGCAGACATTTTTTGGTTGTAGAAGTAAGGGATGTGGATGCTACTTGGGATCTGATAGGTAGCAGCTAGGGAAGCTGCTAAATATTCTCCAACATGCAGGAGACTTCCATCCACAACTTGGTCCCAAAATATCAATAGTGCTGAAGCTGAAAACCTGCTCTACACTAACCAAAAGCCTAATTCACCAAGAAAATAAAAAATATCCTGCAACTTTTCTTCCCTACACCACAATCGTTCACCATTTCCTTCCCTTAATTTTGTCTCGTTTCTTTGTAGAAGGAAGTGGTTGGTATGGGAATTAACAATAAACTTTCTGCCTAACTTTGTCCATTTACCCACTCTAGGAATTTCCCAAATTTTCTTGACCCCTCCCTCCCCTGATCACCAATGCCTTTACCTTGTCCCCAATACCTGACTCACTGTGTGTATTCAAAACATATTTTGTTGAATGAACTGATGGCTCTATTTTCTATTTCACTAAGAAAATGGAAGCAATTAGAAGAGAACTTGGAAATCCTAACTATATTTATCTACACACTTAGTTGCCCATATACTCTGCCATCTCTTGTTACTGTAGATGAACTATTCATGTTGTTACCTAAGGAAAATTCTTCAACTTATCCACCAGATCACATCTTCTTTACTTTATCAAATATTGTTTTTACTCGATTATTCTCCAGTGAGCATATGCACATGCTGTGAAAATACTTCTTTTGATCTTGTATCTCATTTCATCCACCACTACCCAATATCTGTTTCCCTATATAAGAAAATCCCTTATATGAGTCATTTATGCATGCCGTCTTCAATTCCTCTACTTTCAATCTCTTTCAAATTTGCTTGTTTTGTTTGTGCTTTTACCATCCTTATTCCAAATACCGAGAAAGTGCTACTCTTAACATCACCAATGACTTCCAAATTGCCAAAATCCTTTGGTCAATTGTGTGTACCTATCTAAATTTGATCGATCTTGTCATTCTTCCTCACTAATACATTTATCAAAGCATCAAATGAAATAATGTACTTAAGAGTATTTCGAAAACTGTAATGTTTTCCCATACAGAGACTGTCTTATAAAATTAAGCAACTGCCTCCTGTGTTTTGATCAAAGCCTGTAATACTTTCAGATCAACGATACTTTATTTAAAGTAAAATATTTCACTGAATCATCTCAATGATTTTATTGGTTACAATTATTTTTAACTTTATCAACAATATCGTTTTTTTCCCACATTACAAAGTATTCGAAATGTATGAGTAATAAATACACTCTATCATCAAAAAAATGAATTACATGCAATTATCAGTAGCAACTAGATTTTTCAGCCTTGCTCTTTATTATAATTAGAATAAATGACAAAAAAAAATACCTTTGGTTTCTTCTACAGCAAGTTTATCACAAATCTGCTTTTCATAGGTACAAAGATGTTCAAGGGCTTCTCTATAGAGACCTGCTTCCCGAAGAACTTGATTCTGATATAAAAGGAGTTCACTATATTCATAATCCACTTTATCAGGAGATGTCTATATATGGATATAAGGAATACTAACAGTAAGAATTTTGTTTTCATATTAGAAAATTGTTTACACACTCAAATATATACGAAAAATTAAAGAATAATACTTGATCGATAATTCATTTTTTAAAAACTCCTAAATATATGTTGTCTAGGGAGCAACTAACAATGACAATATTAACTTACATCTCATTGAATAAGAATCCAGAAGTCCTTACATAAGTTAATACACAGGGGAGAAAGGTAAGTTCTTACTTAACAGTAGAATATCAAACAATAAGTTTAGAAAAAATAAAGAGAACTACCATTTTACAACTATTATTAAATTCCTGATTCAGGCAAGAATCATAATGAATGCTAAAACCAGTGGTGAAAATTTGATAATGAACAGGCTATTCATTCTCAAATCATTTATTAAGTAAATAGAGAAAAGAGAAAATATAACAAGTTTATAGTGAAGAAACCTGGCAGACACCATCTTAACCAAGCAACCAAATGGACAAACAGGTATCATGTACCTCTTAACGTGATGAACTGAGAAGGGCTCAACATCACTTCTGTGGTTCCCTACCAAAAGTGCAAAACTCTATCTAATAATGAGAAAACATCCAATCCAAACTGATGAACATTTTACGAAAGCACTGAACTATTCAAAAGTACCAATGTAATCAAATACAAAGAAAGCCTTCAAAGCTTCCAGATTAAAAGAGACTGAAGAGAAATTATAACTAAATATAACATATGATTCTAACCTGGATCCTGAAATGAAAAGGGGAAAAGAGTCCTAGGAAGGATATAAACAGGACAATTAGGAATTTCTGAATATGAAGCTGTGGACTGGATAACTGTCTATCAATGTTATACCTAATTTTTTGATAATCTATATAGTATCCCCAATAAAGTTGATAACTGTATAGTTATTCTTAGGAAATAACACACTGATGCACTTAAGAATAAAAGGGCATGGTGTCTACAATTACATTCAAATGTTTCACCAAGAAAATGTAAATAGACAAGGAGATGAAGAGAATGTAAAGTAAGTTTTAAGAGATTGTCAAGTGTCAAATACCAACAATTAGTTTACACGAGTCAATTCCTATATGCAGTTCTCTGTACTATTCTTGCAACTTTTTTTAAGTTTGAAATTATTTCAAAATAAAAAGTTGCAAATCTATGTACACTTCTTTTTTTTTTCATTATATTTAAATCAGACCTAGTTTACTGGGTTTGGCTTCTGGTTGTTACCTGTTGTGTTTTCCTAAATTCTTCTAAAATCTTTGCTGCCATTTCATAATCTTCTAATAAATGGTAAGCAATAGCATAACCAATCCATGATGCTCTCTGTGCAGGTCGAAGCTGAAGTAATTGATATCTCGTTTCCTTAAAGGGGAAAAAAACCACTTTTTCTAGGTTACAGTGAAAGCAAATGCTCCTTAAAAGGATCATATTAATTTACCCCATAACACCGAGCAATTGGCAACACAATGCTGGGAAGAATAACAAAAAATAGTTTCAAACATTATATATTGTGCAATTTTAGAGAAGCAAAAATATTTGTTAAGAAGCACAATGAAATCTCCATGGTAATCTTGTTAAGACCAGATACCCTTTATTATTTTCTGATCTACTTTAGGAAGAGACAGAATGGAAAAGATAGTACAAAGGAAAATTTTTCTTAAAAATTCAGTGCCCAACTACTGAGTGAAGATCTATAGAGGAAACAATTTAGTAGGTACTCTTTGGGGAAAAAAAGAAGGACTAAATAGATCTGATTTAATAGGGTAATTTAAAGGGTAAACTATAGCTACAAAGACAGATACTGGGCTTAACAAAGATAAAAAGAAACAAAAAAATTTGCTTTCCATAAAAATGTGAGAACCAAAGGTTATATTTACATGTTAATCCCAGAGGCACTGTCTGAGGAATATTGTTAATTTTCACTGACTGACTAACTGAACTCTGTATAGTAATTCACAGTAAAATCATTCATTTTATAAACCTGACTAGTCCAATCATAAAACACAACCACTATTGGGGAGAGGGGGATAAAATTCAATTTAATTCTTTTTAAATGGAAAATTTACGTATCAGAAGTACTCAAAAAACTTTTAAATATTTTAACAATATTTTATTCTTGGAATAAAAATATTCTCTATTTTACTTACCCTATAACCCTCAAGATCTCGCATTTGAATCTGTAGTAAAGAAAGGTCCCTTAAGATTTGAAGATTGTCTTTATCCCACTTTAGCGCATTTCTGTAACACTTAATGGCTTCATCATATTTCTTGTCTGACCTCTGAAGTAGGCCATAAACATGCCAACCTAAAAGATTTAGTTAAGGATACAACCTATATGGTCAAGAAATAATATTCCCCAGGAAACTCAGAGAACTACAGCTATTTACAAAATTATAAGCTTATAAAAAGAGAGAATAAAAGGTAGAAGGTAGGTCAATACAGTAAAAAAAAAAAAAAACAGTACAGCTCTTAGAGCCAAAGAAAATAGTTTTAGCCTGACTTACTAGCTCTGTGACCTTGGACAAGTTATTTAGTCTCATTATATTTCCTCAATTACAAATGTAAATAGAAATTCTATATAGCAAAGCATAATTGTTTGGTGACTAAATGGAATAACATACATAAGGCACTCACTGGCTGGCACAAAATAAATGCTCAATAAATGTCAGGAATTTATTTTTTAAAAGGAAAAAGAAGGAATGGGAATCATGACAAGTAATTATTTTAAACCATGTATTTTTTTTTCTTCAGCTAACAAGGCCCATTAGGATAAAACCCATAGAGCAGGTACAAATTTCCTAAAAATCAACCACATACAGAATAAAAACATTCATTCATTTAACAAATAATTATTAGAATTTCTTAATAATTAGGGTGTAGGTGGCCAAAATGGACAGTCTCCTGCATTCAAGGAACTTAAAATCTAGTAAGAGGCACAGATTAAATAAGCAAAATCACAGCAGGTTGTAACAAATGCTACAAAGGGAGAAGACATGTAAGCAAAACTCCCCTAACAATGGATCTTTCTAGTTTAGATCTTGATTATGCAATAGGTACCCATCCCCCTATATTCAGTCTCTGCTTTTATTCTCTCCTGCCAGAGTAACCTTTCCAAAACACAATAATCAAAAGCAAATTTCCACTTCCTTGTCCAGAAACTTAAAATGTTTCTCAGATTAGGTTCAAACAGTCCAATCTAACAACTTTTACACCAGGGATCCTCAACAGAATAAAATATACAATGTCTAGGATGGCACATATTAACTGAAAATACATATTTAATATTGTAAATTTTATTTGGAAAACAATTATTTATCTTCATAATATAAATTATAAAATAAAGCTTAATAAAATCATCTCAGTTGAGTAGAATATGGTTTTTAAAAGCCTAAGGCACACCACCCTTCATAATCTGACCCCCATTACCCATCTTCGCATTTCGGTCACCAATACCCTATTATTTCACAACTTGCTCTCCTCTCTTGAGCATTGCAGCAACTTTTTAATTGCCTCTAATCTTCACCTCCTATAAAAAAATCTATCCTCAAGGAATTTAACACTGCTAAAAATTTTTAAAAACTTAGGCGCATCAATAGGAACCCAATTAAAAAATCATGGTAAATACATATTGAACACTATGTAATCATTAAGAATGATGAAAAGATAATCTATAATAATCTTATTAATTAATCCTATGCTTAACTTTTTAGTTTGATTATTCCCAACTCATTTTTCTGCTTTACTGGATTAGTGATGATTTTTGAACAAGCTGTAACATTTTATTTATCTGTATATGCTTCTACTAAGTATCTTCCTTCACTAGACTGTAAATTCCTTGAGAGCAAAATCCATTATCTTTTCTTCATCTGTACTATGCCAGGGGCCTAGTAAACAAAAAATTGCTGTGTTTCAACACTTAAAATTGTGCTAGTATACAAAATAGGTAAAAAAATATATTTGTTTAGAAACTAGTTTAAAAATAGCAATCCACAGTTTTTTCTCTATCTTCCCTGACACTTGTACTTGCTCTTACCTCACACTTTCTTTTATAAAATTTATCTAGTATACTACCTAGCATTATCAGAAACAATGTTAACATCTTACATATATCACCATTGACTCTTTATACCACAGTGAGGTGGGTATGATTATCCTCACTTCACACATGAGGAAACTTAGCCCTAAGATTACAGAATGGGATTCAAACCTAAGTGATTCATACTCCAAAGCCAGTGCTCTTAATCAGCACATTAAATTACCTCTTTAATATTGTATATCCTTCTCTCAATTTATGATCATGATTAAATCTGCTGGGTGCCTCTTTCTTTTCAAGTGTGGGAGGAACTTTCATAAATACAGTAGTCCCCCCTTCTCTGTGGGGATATGTTCCAAGACCCCCACTGGATGCCTGAAACTGCATATCCTATGTATGTACACATGTGTATGTGTACACACACGTTTTTTCCAATACATACATACATACCTATATTTAATTTATAAATTTATATATTAATTTATGAATTAAGCATAGTAAGAGATTATCAACAATAAAATAGAACAATTATAAAAATGTCCTATAATAAAAGTTATGTGAATATGCTCTCTCTCTAAATATCATACTATACTCAGTCCCTTCTTGTGATAATGTGAGATGATAAAATGCCTACTTGACAAGATGAAGTGAGGTGAATGATATAGGCAGTGTGATGTAGCAGTATTAGGCTACTACTGACCTTCTGATGATACTTGACAAAGAATATCATCTGCTTCCAGACCACGGTGGATTGTGGGTAACTGAAACTGTGAAGAGCAAAACCAGATAAGGGGGGGAACAACTGTATTAGGCAGAGAAATGATAAGAGTTGTTGATGTTTAACATCTTTAATACAGACAGAAGTTTGTATGGGTTGACGAATAAATTGTCAACAGTAACTAATAATAAAACAGAACAATTATAACAGTATAACAATATAAATAATAAAAGTTATGTGATTGTGGGTCTCGAAATATCTTATTGTGCTAACCTCACCCCTCTTATGAAAATGAGATAATAAAATGCCTATATATATGATAAGATGAAGTGAGGTGAAATGACATAGGCATTATGACACAGCATTAGGCTACTGTTGACCTTCTGACGGTATTTGGACTGTAGTTTATTTTGGGTAACTGAAACCTTGGAAAGGGAAACCCTGAAGAAGAGGAGACTACTGTATTTTAAAAGACAAGTCCCATTTATCCATAAATAGGTAAAATGTTGCAATATCATGGGTATATAAAAATGTTCCTGAAATGAAGATAATTATTGTTATTCGATTTCAAAAGAATAATCTTTGGAGTTAATGCTAAGAAGGATCTAAAACTTCTGACTCCCAAAGGGCTGCCTTACCTTATAGCTCATGACACCCCAATCTAATCTTTAAATAAATGTCAAAAAGGATACACACATGACTTTTCAAGTCATTTCTCAAACCTCTACGAACCAATTCATAAGCTTCTTCCTTTTTTCCCAAACAGTTCAATGTTAATCCTTTCATAGCCAGGGTTTCTATTAAAAAAAAAAAAAAGAATGAAAGGAAGAAAAAAGAAAAGAATTAAATATTAAAAATAAATAGTAACAAAAAAGGTAACCATAATCTCAATAACAAATGTTACATTACCCTAAGAACTGAAAGCTGCATAGAGATTATTCAGAAGTTTTCCAGGTGTACAGATTAAAATATTTTATGAATTGATTAAGTAAACACACATTTCTAACTCTAGACCTCACAAGAATTTAAAATAAAAAGATACAAAAATTGCATGAATACTAGTAATATACATGCTAACAAGAAACAATGACAATATTATTGTTCTTCAGGGGAATTCAATGGGATGACCTTATATAATCACTCCTTAAAAGTATGAAAAAACTTTGTCCTGAAACTGATTTTATTTCTGTGAACTCAAGTTACATAAATACTAAATTCACTATTCAATGATTAAAAACATACATGTATATTACCTACATTTCTGATTTTCATAAATTCATTTTTAAATGATTCTTTGGCATTATGATTAAATATACAAGTAAAAGATGCCAGGTACCTGTCACTCATAATCAACAGATTAAAAGAGTTGAGGGAAACATTAAATTTTCAGAAAAGGAAAAAAAAGATTTCTAATTTTATAACTGTGTATTTTATGAAGCATAAAGGAATAAAACTTATGATTTGTTGTCTAATTTTTAGGACAAAACTTCAGAGTTTATAGAAAAATTAATTAGGAATAAAAGATAAGGATTAAAGGTATTATCCTGAGGAAGTGTTAACTTTTATAAGCAAATACAGATAAAGAAATGGAAGCAAAAAAGAGAGAAAAGCCTCAAGTACAAATCATTATAAATCATGTACAAAGGAAATACAAACAAAATATACTGCCAAGTAGCCAAATTAACAAGATACTATAGAAGTAGCCCTATGTTGTCAAATAGGTAAAATCTATTCTTACATTTTACCAACATCTTGAGGTACCTTAATAATTACTGAAGCCCTGGGTTGCTATTAAGTTTAAGATAAATCATTTCATATACTGCTAAAAAACACCTTCAGTTAAAATTATGACACTACATATACAACCTGATTTCAGTGTTAAAATAGGGGAAACTGCATTTTAGAAACAATGAAATTTGGTACTCTGTTAAGAAATTTTATCATGATTTATGAATAAAAATTGAAATACTAGTATGCATATTTTAGAAATGAATAAAAAACTAATTATACAGCTGGGCAGAAAAAATTCATATAGATAGGTATAGTTTCTACAAAGAAAAGGGAATGAATTTAGGTACTTTTATTCCCATTGCCTTACATCTCCAATTTTATTCTTATAGTGAAAGCATGCAAGTGTAAAGAAAGCTAATAGAGAAATATTACTCTCTCCATCTTCTTCAATATTAACATTATCAAATTAATTACCATAGAGCCATGTTTCCTGACTTTTTAATTCACAACTGTGAAAGCTTCTTTTTCCTTCGCCTCTTCACAAGTTTAGCTACAACAAACATCTTTACTCAACAAACATCTCCCTGTCCAATCTCCTACCATCATAGGCCAAAGTTATGTAAACTTTCAGAATACAATAAGCAAATCTTGTCTTAAACATGACTATCTTGAAAAACTAAGATATAATTCTAAATAAAAAGATGGTGGCTCACAAGCAAAAGACTAAATGGGCACTCTCTGAATAAATTTACTTTAAAGGAATAAAATTTTTGAGAACAGAAGTTCTTAAGCAAACTCTTCTCATAACATCTTAAATTTACTTAATAAAACTTATATGTGTATTTGTCCCATTAGGTCCTTTTGTCTTTTCTATGGCTCTAACATTCTTCACAATAGTAATAAATCAGAACTCAAGGAGAATGTTATCATTTTTTACATTAAGTTCAAAATTCAGTAATAAACATCTCCTCAAGGGGAGTCATGGATAAGAAAATACTCAAGGCTGCTGGGAGTCAACAGGACTCATAAATAAAGCCAGACAAGTAAGCAAAGCCTTATCTTCTTACACTTACCTCCATGCTCTGCAAATTTAGGATTAGAGAGGATTTGTTTACAGAATTTCAACCCATTTCTATACTGTTTATGTTCATAACATCTCTGTCAAAACAAAAAAAAAATTTTTAGTTAAGCAAGAAATGCAATTTTAAATTCAATGCTACATTTCATTCTGTTAAATAGAATGGTCAAATGCTATTTCCATATTCTCCTAAATCCCACTAAAATGTCAGTTAAAAAAAACAAACATAAGATTCAAATACAGAAAGTAGGAAAAATAAGATCATTAGTTCACTGTAAAAGGTCCAGCAAGTGAAAACTGAAAAAGAAAAAAAGGTGTGAACACACTTTAAAACAGCATCTTCTTTTTACTGAAGGAAGAAAGTTCCTTAAAGCTGCAAGGGACAAACAAGTGCATGCAAAAAAAAAAAAAAAAAAGACCCATATCATAGCACATCAAAATGAAACCCCAAAGCTAAGTCCTTAAAAACATCTAGAAAGAAACATGTGACACAAAAAGGATCCATAATCAGAATGGCACTGAACTTTTATTCCAAAGCAATAATGGAACACTGCTGAAACCTAGAAAACTATACATGGCCTTCAAAATGCAGAGAGAAATTAAGTTTCTACCTAGAATTTTACACCCAGCCAAATTATCAATCAAGTAGATGAGTAAATGACATTTTAAGGCTTCTCAGAAAGCTAAAATTTTATCCCTATACACTCTTCCTTAGGAAGCTATTAAAAGGAATCAAAACTAAACAAGACAGCAAAAGGACTTAGTAAATAAAGAATCTATAACGCAGGGGAAAAATAACATGATGTAACAAAAAAAACTAATTATCCTTAGTTCCTTTCCTCTTACTTCCACTTACGTCCCATCCATTCCACTTTCTCTCCAACAGCTTCCTAACTCTCTGCCACTCCCACAATCAACTATGCACTCAGCAGGCAGGTGATCTGGGGGATAAGAGGGAGGGGAGAGCAGAAGCAATAACTTAGGCGCTCTCAGTAACGATATTAGAGAAAGAAACGTAAGACTGAGCAACGAAGTTTAGTGTTCCTATTTACTTAACAGAAAGCCTAAAGATAGTTCGTTTTTCTTATTATAATTATAATAACAGTAAAAAGCATTAAAAGAAGCTAAGGTAATTTAAAGCAGACACTCTTAACTTGTCACTGTTTTCCAGGAACTACATACATACAAAGCATGGTTTAAGTGCATTTTTCTTAAAAGACCCTCAGTTAGTTTTCTGAAAATTCATTTCTGTGAAAATGTAGTAGAAGAACTTCTACTTTTGGCGATGATGGAGTAAGTGAGGATGAACTTGCCCTTCTACTGTAAACTACAAAACTAAACAAAACATATGAAATAACTATTGTCAGACAATGGACAACAGGCAGCGCAAAACTGAACGACTAAAGACAGAAAAAAACCATGATGAACTTAGATATGCCACCACTTTATAGATCACAGCAGAGAGAGAAGGATCCAAGGCAGAGCACAACAGTCCAGAGTAAAAAGAAAAAAAAAAAAGACTTCAGTGTGAAGCAAAAATCTGCAGGGGGTCCCCGTGAGTCTGTTGCTGAAAACTGTTGAATATTGTCTTGCATATGTAGGGTGAGACTTCATGAGGCCAAACAAAAAATGACCAGGAAGCAGTAAATTCAATAATTCTCAGGTCTCACATGTCACTGAAAGTTCCAAGTAGTCAGAATGGAGTTTTCAATGAACAACTGTAGAATTCAGTAAATAATGCAGAAAATGTCTATTTAGTAGACAAAAACTAGCCCTAGAGCAAGTGTACTCTAGACTCACCCTAACAAAGCCATAGACTGATAAACAAGTAACTTTACTACCGGTATAACAAAGTCCAACACTCTTTAAATTCACTAAAACAGTATAAAATTCATAATGCTCAACATCCAATAAAAAATTATTAGATAAGCTAAGAACAACATACTCAATAATCAGGAGAAATAAAAGAAATGCTGAAATTACGAGATATGCCTATCAAAACAACTATTATAAATATGCTCAATTTAAAGAAAATATAGACATATAAAAAGATAAATGAAAAATACAGAAAAGAACCAAAGAGCATTTCTAAAGATGAGAAATACAGTATCTACAATGAATTTTTACTGAACAAAGATACTGCAGAAAAGACCAGTGAAATGGAAGAACAGTAGAAACTACCCAAACTCATAGAGAAAAAAGATCAGAAAAAATAAACTAGTGCAGCCATAATGACCCTTCTTTATTAACAGAAAAATAAATTATAAAAGCATCACAGATATAAATGTGAAAGGCAAAAACAATAAAGCTTCTAGAAGGATATATTTTAAAATATCTTCATTATGTTGGGTAAAAAAGATCCCTTAAACAGAAAATTTTACATTCAAGATGGTGTTTTAGAAAAAAAAGGCACACCAGAGAAGACATGCAGTGTTTCAACAAAGACTGTATATCCAGAATAAACAACTTCCGTAAATCAATAAAAAGAAGCGACAGCTAGCTCATTAAAACATTGCGCAAGGGCCTTGGAAATGCCCAGAGATTACCCTAATGGCTAATAAAGTCAAAAAAGGCACTTAATTACATCAAAATCACAGCACCATACTATTAAGTTAAACTAAAATGCATTAGACAACATCACCTGATGAAACTGTGGAGAAACTGGAATTTTCATACTTTGCTAGTAGTAGAGAAAATTGATTAATAATTTGTTCAGTTATTTGGCAGAACATTTATGCCATAAAAATTATACCCCAGTAAACCAGATTTTAAAACACTGTTTGGCAGTATTTAATAAAACCAACCATATATATGCTGATCAGCAATTTCATTTTTAGGTATACACCCAACAGAACTACAAACATAAATTCACCAAAAAATAGGAAAAATGGGAGCAGCATTTATCAATAACTGAGATTACAAATATATATATACATGAAAGCAAAAAAGGATACAAATTTAATGATACACTTGAACTATAGTACTAAGTCATCAAAAATTTAGTAATAGTTTTTAAATTTACTTTGTATTAAAAATGCTTTTACATATAAGGCTAAAAGTTCATCAAAACTAATACAGTAAACAGAGTCTAGGTCTTCACTTTTCAGGTAAGTCTACAAATCATAAAGCATTATCACTAGCTAGGTCATAATCTTGGCATTATATTCCTAGGTAATTTTTAAATACCAGAAACATGAGAGGAAAAATTTACTTCAGGAATTAGGCAGTGAAAAGAACTGCCTTTGTGGAATCACTAGCTCTGCTTTCAAACACTCACTTCAGAGAGTAAAAGTAGTTCGGTAATCGTAACTACTCTACTGAGAATAAAAAAGAATACTTAAATCATGGAGATACATCATCAGAAAAAGAGACATAAAACATTAAGCAATGATAGCTAATCCCTACTGAGTGAGCTTTTATTGTGGGCAAGGCAAGGTACTAAATATTTTATAAGGAAAAGTCATTTAATCTTAGCAACAGTATGAAGTATGTATTTTTTTTTGCATCTGGCATCTCTACTTATTTTTTTCCTATGGTTATGTCTTTTTTTATATACATAATTTTTTATTAAGGTATTATTAATATATACTCTTATGAAGGTTTCACATGAAAAACAATCATCCGTATTACTGAGTCCTCCCCATACCCCACTGTAGTCACTGACCATCAGGGTAGCAAGATGCCAGTAACTACTTCTCTGTGCTACATTGTCTTCCCCATGATCCCACACACACACCATGTGTACTAATCATAATACCCCTCAATCACCTTCTCCGTCCCTCCCGACCCGCCCTCTCACACCCCTCCCCTTTGGTAACCAGTAGTCCCTTCTTGGAGTCTGTGAGTCTGCTGCTGTTTTCTTCTGTCAGTTTTGATTCATTGTTATACTCCACAAATGAGGGGAAAAATTTGGTACTTCTCTTTCTCTGCCTGGCTTATTTCACTGAGGAGTAATACCCTCTAGCTCCATCCATATTGTTGCAAATGGTAGGATTTGTGTCTTTCTTATGGCTGAATAGTATTCCATTGTGTATATGTACCACATCTTCTTTGTCCATTCATCTACTGATGGACACTTAGTTGCTTCCATATCTTGGTTACTGCATATAGCGCTGCAATAAACATAGAGGTGCAAATGTCTTTTTGAATGTGATAACTTGTATTCTTCGAGTAAATTCCAAGGTGTGGAATTCCTGGGTCAAATGGTATTTCTATTTGTAGTTTTTTGAGGAAACTCCATATTGCTTTCCACAGTGGTTGAACTAATTTACATTCCCACCAGCATTGGAGGACGGTTCCCCTTTCTCCACATCCTTACCAGCATTTGTTGTTCTTAAGTCTTTTGAATGGTGGCCAACCTAACTGGTATGAGGTGATATCTCATTGTGGTTTTAATTGCATTTCCCTGACAATTAGCGATGTGGAGCATCTTTCATGTGCCCGTTGGCCATCTGAATTTCTTCTTTTGAGAATTGTCTGTCCATATTCCCCCATTTTTTAATTGGGTTATTTGATTTTTGCTTGTTGAAGTGCGTGAGCTCTTTATATATTTTGGATGTCAACCCCTTATTGGATATATCATTTATGAATATACTCTCCCATATTGTAGGATGCCTTTCTGTTCTGCTGATGGTGTCTTTTGCTATACAGAAGCTTTTTAGCTTGATGTAGTCCCATCTGTTCATTTTTGCTTTTGCTCCCCTTGCCCAAGGAAATGGTTCAGGAAGAAGCTGCTCATGTTCATATATTCAGATTACTGCCTATGTTGTCTTCTAAGAGTCTTATGGTTTCATGACTCACATTCAGGTCTTTGATCCATTTTGAGTTCACTTTTGTGTATGGGGTTAGACAATAATCCAGTTTCATTCTCTTACATGTGGCTGTCCAGTTTTGCCAACACCAGCTGTTGAAGAGGCTGTCATTTCCCCATTGTATATCCATGGCTCCTTTATCGTATATTAATTGACCATATATGTTTGGGTCAATATGTGGACTCCTTATTCTGTTCCACTGGTGTGTGCATCTGTTCTGGTGCCAGTACCAAAATTGTCTTGATTATTGTGGCTTTATAGTAGAGCTT